GGGCCAGTCAGAACCACAGAGCAATGCAGATCTCCCTGAAATCCCACCACAGATCCTGTCAAACCCATCTCATTTAATTACATTCAGCAGCCTTGGCTGCTAAAAGTCACAGAGCAGATGAAAGATTTCTGGAAGGGAGTTTCACGTGGTACCACATAAGAGTCTTACACAACCAGTACCACAGAGAGTCAAAAGAGCACTGAGCAAATGAAACTGGGAATGAAAACTGCATCAGAGAGGCCACTGGAGAACAGATGCACCCAGGGCAGGTTCAGCAGGGCTGTTTATCCAGGTCAGTCACTGATGACAGGCTCTGCACATCAAACACTGCCAGCCAGGTAGCAGGGAGGGCAAGGCCGTCACATTCAGCACCAGGAGCTGCCTCAGAAGGTAAATCAGCCTTGTTAATGCAGTTAAAGGCTGCTACTCATCAACCCAGCCCTGGGCCCCTGAAGTTTGCTCAGTGGCCCCAGTGAGAGTCAGCAGTTCCTCACTGAGCTCAGGAGGGAGGGCAAACCCCTCATTTCCCAATGCACGCAGCCACTGCTGCTACCAGGCTGCATCCTGGAGGAACCCTGAATACAAGCAAATTTTCTCTGTCCTCTGCAGCGAGGTGTATTTGGCCTTCTAGAGCAGAGAAGGTCAGAGTCCGGCTAGCTGAGGTTAAGGCCGACACCCAGCTGCAATCCTGCAGCACGCCTCGGCGTCGTAAGGCCTCGGGCTGTGCTGGCTGCGGACGGGATCGCTGCTAAACGACCAGAATGAAGGAGCCGGACACTCGCTGGGGGCTAAACTTGGTGTATTGGAAAGCCCACGATGTCCCAGCAAACGACCAAAAACAAAGGGTGCTTAGAGGTTATAAAGGGAAGGAGTGGACCCGGGAGGGGTTTACAGAAGACCAACAGGGGGAGAAGAGGGGATGAGCTTAACACAAATGACATAGTGGAGAGCCCAATAGGTACCAGGTATGGGAGGGGCCCCGGGACCAGAGCCAACCACAACCCCCAAAGGGAGAAGCTTCTGGAATATTAGGTGGAGTGGGGGGGTGATTGACTTGGCCCAGGGAGGAGGAAAAGCATACATATAAGGGAAAAAGGGGAGGAGGAATTATATAACCTAACAGATTGACAATAGAACTGGCAGGGCTGTGGCGGGAAAACTGAGGAGGGCAGAACCATTTTACACAAAATGGGGGGGAGCAGATACATAAAATGGGGGAGGAGTTAAATGAACTTAATGAACACACTACAGCAATCCTCTGGCTGATATTGATTTTTCTTTATTTTCTGATATTTATTTTTCTGGATCCCCTAGCTGATATTTATTTTTTTCTCCTCAAAAGGCAGCAGAGTTCTGACACATTCAGGTACCATCCCAACTCAAGGACCATTTCTAATAAAATACATCTTGGTGTCTATCTGTAATCAGCAGTTCAACATAATCAAACAAAATATAAAAAATACTTTTTCCACTAGTCTCAGCCTGAGCCTTTGGAGCTTTTGTGGATAATTAGCAGTTCACATTATCTCTCCTCATCCCATCTGGGACATGATTTAAGCCAGCCTGGCTCAAACTGTCATGACTTCAAAGAAAGCAAGTTTCCCTCAATTTTATAAAGGTTGCTTTTTCCTACATCATATCAAGATCTACAACCTCCCTGTCTTTTAAATGCTTGCCCTCCTCTTTCAGGGTATCAGCACTTCAAACAGAGGGTGGGGGAAAAAAAAAAAAAATCAACATTTTTAACACTCCCAAATTCTCATGAGTCTTTGACATAAGCTATATAGTTCATGGTTATTGAAGTGTTGTTGAAATAAATAGTTTTCCCTGCAGAAATGTAACATATTAAATAAATAAATAAACATGGATTATGCAAGTAGAATCAAAAGTTTCAGGCAAGCTCTCATAATACAAGAAGAAACTGAAAACTTTGGATACAATGGACAGAACAGTTAGCTACTGTGGAAGTTATCCTAATATGTAACTCACTTCTATCTGAGAGTTTCACTGAATATTCCCTATGCCCAAAGTCTCTAATTGTGATAATTTCCCAAAGCCATCTTTAAAATACATTATCTCTGAAAATATTTTATTTCAATAGAACTATTGCATTTTTAGAAAGTATTTTTGTTTTACAGTCAAAAATGCTTTTGAATACTATGTAAAAATAATAGTAACAGAATTGCTTAAAGGCATTGAAAAATTGAAAAGCACAAAGTCAACAGGCTAAGAAAAAACCCTACTGCAATCCAAACATTTTTAAATGGACAATCTGGGCCACACCTAGAAAAATAGGAACACATTTTCTCTGTTCTCTGTTTTCGTCAAGAAAAAGACTCAAATAGTTTGTCTTGGATAGAAAAGAACTACCTCACAATAGTAGGAAGTCATATATCACTGAAGGCAAACTGGAAATCAGCCACACAAGAAAGAGATTCCCTCCTCACTGGTGTCACATCTTTGAGAGCAAGGGGAGCTTTCTTTGTTTAGTATAAACTTCGAAGTGACAAACCCAAAGCTGCCAGAGGAAAAGTCCCTGCAGAGTTACACCTGTACCTGCTTTAATTCACCCTCAGCCTCTGCCCACTGTGATCTGCTGAAACAACAGTCCCAACATTGTCACATCACAATCAGGCTCTGATTTATTCAAATAAATTCTAAATGCCCACCTCATAGTTGTGTTCTTTACACTAAATATATTCTTCATACTAAATATAAGTATATATAAGTATTCTTTATACTAAATATATTCTTTATACTAAATATATTCTTTATACTAAATATAAGTATATATAAGTATTCTTTATACTAAATATATTCTTTATACTAAATATAAGTATTTATAAGTATTCTTTATACTAAATATATTCTTTATACTAAATATAAGTATTTATAAGTATTCTTTATACTAAATATATACAGAAAGAGGTTAAACCAACAGGTTTAAATCCAGCGACCTGCACCTACTAGTAAATTTGTACAATTTAATAAAAATAATACTAAAAACCTCTTTAATAGCTTTCCAAGAATTTCTGAGGTCAGTCTTTTTTAACACCATTTCCAGATAAACACCATTTTCCATGACAAAAAGAGGTCACATAGGTTCTATTCCCTTTCAACACAAGTAAAACAGGGAGAACAGAAGATGAAAGGTTAATGAAAAGGCTCTTGACGTGCCACTGGTTAATTACTGATTAATTTATGGAAATAAGGTAAAAAGCAGAAGTGATTTTTTTACATGAGTATTTTGAAAGGACAGAAGTTGGTTTCAGAGAGGTCTTTTACTCATATTTGTTTTCTAAGAAAAAGGAATTGAAATCAAGACTCAAACACTTTCCTTCTGCATTCCTTAAGCACAGTCCCACAGAACACCAAGGCTGAATGTTTATGATTTCTCACCATGCATCCATGGTAAACATGTTCACTCAATTAGCAGTGTTGCACAGACTGCGGGGCTGGCAAAGCACAGATCGAACCGGGTTCATTGGCAAAACACCATTTCACACATTTCACAGCCTGTTTGCTGCTCCTGTAGAGCCCATCGAGACGGGCACACATGACATCGGTCTGTGCAAAGCTGATGGACTGGAACTGCTCAGTGAGCTTTCCCACATGCAAAGAGTGCAAATCCAGTCTGTGCTTCCAGCTGCCACCAGCCCTACACATCTAACAAGCAATAATCAAACATACAGATTTTGGTCATTTAGTTAAAATAACTTTGAGATTAAACATCCCAGTGGCAAAACTTCAAATATTATTTCAAACACTCACAGAACATTACATTAGTATTATATATATATATATGTATGTCATTTTTATGCCTGCATAACTCCAGTAGATAATACTTCACCGAATCCCTGAGAGCTTCCTTCTGGGCACATGCATTCACCTTGCAGAAACATCAACAATCTTTGGTTAGAGAGGCCAAATAAAATCTCTAACCCTCAATCACGCCATTCCTTTCAGTCACCCGTTCTAGATGCCGAGATAGAGCCACAGCAGACAACTGGTGATTGTTACCAGTAACTGGGAGGACAAGAGCTAAGCCCCTGCACGAAGCTTAGGATCAGAGTTAGTTTTCTCTAGACATGACTGATATCCACCTTAAACCAGGTATTACAGTAAGGATTAGTAAACACTAACAACTTAAGAGTCTAATTGCTGCCTAACTTCTTAAAACATTTACCTGGGAAAGCCTTCTCTCAGCTGCTGCTGAACGTGGTTTAGTGCCGTGATTTAGAGCTGGATGTGCTTTCTTTGGAGCTGCTGCTGCTGCCGCACTTCCAGCGGCCAGCGCCAAAGCACATGCCACTGCTTGCGTAAAGCAGGCGATCAAGTGTTATTTTAACTTATCTATTGACCCCTAGTGCAACAGCCAGATTTTATAGAGATTCTGCTGAATGAAGGTGATGAAAATATCGCAGATTATCAGTTCCTGCTAATTATGAACACGTTGATAGATGGTAGAACCTCCTGAAAGTACAAATACTGGGATCATTTCCAGGTTGTGGTTAATGAAAATAAAATCGTTAAAGAAAAGGCTAAAGCTACGACTCAGTGACGCTACAAAGTGACTCGAAGCAAAGAAGGATCAACAAGAAGCCCTTTAGTTCTGGCTCTCCACTAAGTTCTCACCCTGTAAAACCAAATGCGTGTAAAAACATTAGATGCTTATCCAAACTTTGCGCAAATGGACAAGCTGGAAAAAAACCTTCACCGGAACAAAACGCAGATTGTTACTGCGAACTTTTCACGCGTGCTGAGCTAATCCCCAAAACCAGCACAGCTTCCATTCACAAGACAGAATTACTAGAACACTTCTCGTTACCTGAGCAGGAAAAAAATAAATTAACAGTGAGGCAAGGAAAAAAAGGTACGAATGTGACGTTTTCCCAACCAAATTCAGCCACCTCCCCTCCTGAGGAGCAGTCAGGTCTGCCACATGCTTACACCTCGGGGCTGGAAAGCGCACGATGAGGACACGGAGGTGCGAGCATTACCTGCCAGCGGCCGTAGCTGAGCAGCAGCAGCGCCAGGGGGATGGCGGTGCCCGACATGGCGTGGGTGGAGGGCATGCTGTACTCGGAGTTGTAGAAAACCTCCAGCTTCACCACGGGCGGCGAGGCAGGGCGCGGCCAGCGGATCACATCCTTGGTGCACTGCCCCAGGTACATCACCCACACCCAGATGATGATGAGCCTCCGGCCCAGCCAGGCGTCCACATTCCAGATGCAGAAAGGGAAAAAGAGGATGTAGAAGAGCTCGTTGCCCAGCTCCGTGCCCAGGCTGAACAGATAGTAGAGGAAGCGGCTGCGAGTGGCGAACTCCTGGCTGCCGTCCTCCTCCTCCGTCAGCGAGTTTCGGCGCGGCCTCCTCCTCCAGCGCCGCGGGCTTCCCGCCGCGCCGGGCACGGCCCCGTTGCCGGTGGGATGCTCCTGCCCGCCCGCGGGGCCGCCGTTCGCCACCGGCCCCCGCTGCTCCGCGCCGGCCCGGCCCGAGGGCCCCTCCACCCCGCAGAGCCGCTGGAACGCGGCCACTTTGCGCGGGTCCTGCAGGTGGGCGGCCAGCCGGGCCAGGCGCTGGCCGAGAGACATAGCGGCGGGACCGGGGGACTTCGTCTGAGGGGCGGAGAGGGGGATGGGGGCTCCGCGGAAAAGGAAAGGCGCTCGCTGAAGAGAAAGCCGCTGGAAGGCGAGGCGCCGCGGATACCGCGGGACTACCCTCGCCTCACCCGCTCCCTCCCGCCGCTCGCTCCTCACGCCCTCCCCGCTCGCTCCCTCCCTCACGCCCGCGCCGGCCCCGCCCCGCCGCGCCTGCGCGCAGCCCCCGCCCCGCGGGAAACATCTTTCGCGGCGAGGATTGGCTGTGGCTGTCCGTCGGTCCCGCCCCCACGGGCGGCACAGCCAATCGGAGCTCGGCGCTGCGCCAGGCGGTGCGCGGCGTGAGGCGGCCTCGAGCGTGAGGGGCAGAGGCGGTGGAGGGAGGTCCGGGGGGTGGGTCGGGTTTGGGGGCCCGTAGTGGAGCCTATTTCTTCTCCTCATTCTTTTCTTCTTCCTTCTCCTCCTTCTTCTTCGTTATAGGAACACCGAATCAGTTGCGGTGGATGAGACCTCTGAGATCATCGAGTCCAGCCTGTCACAGATCACCACCTTGTCCACTAGACCATGGCACTGATTGCCCCATCCAGTCTTTCCTTAAATCCCTCCAGGGACAGTGACTCCACCAGCTCTTTGTGCAGGCCATTCCCAGTCACCCTTTGTGTGAGGAAATTCTTCCTAATGTCCAATCTAAACCTCCCGTGGTGCTGTTGAAGACTTCTCGGAGCCTAAATCCGGTGGTGTAAACACGAGAGGGAAAGCGGAGTGGCCACAGCCGCGGCGGTCAGGCCGGTTCAGCCATGGCGGCAGGCCGGGACCACAGGGCTGCGGAGCCGCTCAGGGAGGTTCTGCAGTGCCTGAGGCAGCAGTCGTGTCTTATCCCGTCTCCGTAGTCGGGAGGAGACTCCACATTTCCTTGTGTGTGTGTGTGTGTGTGTGTGTGTGTGTGTGTGTTTGTGTGTGTGTGTGTTTGTGTGTGTTTGTGTGTGTGTGCAGGGCAAGGAGTTCAGCAGGACCAGGAGATTTGTGAGCAGGTACTTTGCCAGTCCACAGTTCCTGCGGTTTCCACACTGGAAATGCTCTGAGAAATGCAGTCCCATGGTCTCCTCTGCTTTCTGTTGCTTCTGCCTGCACTACAGATGCTGCTCCTGTGTATTTGGATCTTGCTTAAAATCAGATTAAAGAAATGATAAACTGTTGCTTTGTGCCGTTTTTAACAGGGTGAGCAATATGACCCAAGCAACTGGTTAGCTTAAATCCTAACCAAAATAGAAAATCTGATGTGGAATTCAAATCATAAAAAGTTGAAACAAAGGAATATGATGCAGATCTAGTGTTTTGGTTAAAATAGCTATCAATACTGTTTTGAGGAGGTACTTGACTTGGTGCTGTGTGATATTCTCATTATGCAGTGCCAACAAACCATAAAAATGGAATTTGCTGCCATATCTCAAGAAGAAATCTGTATGACAACTTAGTTGAAAGAGATGGCATCTAAAAAGCTCCTAGTAGCAGGTTCCATGTCCTGCTACATTTTTAGCAATGATCTGGAAGCAGATCCAAACCTGCTGCTGCAAAAATTCAGGATTAATGGAATTGTAAATAATGATGAGGATGGGGCACTGATCAGTACAGTTTGTACAAGCAGCTTGTTCAAACCTAGTGAATTTTAATTCATCAAACCATACAGCTGTCTATCATAAAATCCCGGTGTGGAGACCATAACTGGAAAATAGAATGTGAAGGTTATGACTTTGAGAAGGATTTTAGGGTCAGATAAGTAAGCAATCAGATAAGGGCTCTCCTGTATGCTGCTATGGCAGAAAAGGATTAATCAATGTACAAACAAAGGAATTTAAAAGTATTTGTTTTACCTCTCATGTTTGACCTCAATAATCACAGGGTAGTGCATACAGTGCTGGTTTTCAGATTTTAAGAAGCACATTGGAAAATAAGAGAGAGCAACAGAATGAAGCAAAATGTTCTGGTGGTTGGAGAAAATGCCTTGTGCTGGGATGTTTTAAGAGCTCAGGCTCTTAAAGTTATCTGGAAGAGAATTGGGAGGTGACTTGATTGCAGTGTACAGGAACATTCCTGAGGGGAAATACAGGATATTAAAGGGTTCTTTAATCTATTGAAGAAAGGCATAATAAGAAGTAATGGCCAGAAGCAAAACCCAGATAAATTCAAATAGGAAATAAGACACACATTTTTCCATGGTTAACCACCAGAACACATTCCCAAGTGAAGCTGAGGATTTGCCATCATTTCATGTCTTCTGTTGAAGATCAGATGTATTTCTGAAAATTAGTTTTCAGCCAAGCAGAAGTTATGTTTTATTTTATTGGATGAATGCAGGTTGAAATCTGATGGGCCATGATAAGCACAGCATGAAGTTGATCTACTGGGACCACTGTGTTTCAAATTCCAAGTGCCAGAAGCAGACATTTCATTTATTACCACGAGCATTAGAATCAATTCTTTTTTTGCCTTGAAATACCTACACACCATAAAAAAGCTGATCTGAATTAAGCCTTGGGCTGCAGAATATATTTACTAAGAAAATATCTAAAGGTTTTGGCCTTTTCCCTCCTAAATTTACACTCCTGGGATTGCTTGGGAAAATTTCTTTGCATTTTAATTTAAATCTCTGAAGGAGTAGATCCTTACAAGAAAATTCATTTAGTGCATTCTGGTTCTCTTGGCCTTGAGGCAATTTTACCTATTTGATGTTCACATTGTGAAATATTTCTTGTGGGATTATTATGCAGAGTGCTCAGGTAACTGCACCAAATGAATCCTGATAGATTTGCTATATTGTACATGATGTATATTTGTATGTGGCATATGTTTTCATCATACAGCCTTAACCTCACTTGAGGCATCATAATATGAGCAATTATATTACCAACAGAGGAGCTGCTGTTACTGAAAGAAGGATGAATGGAATAAAAATAAGATTTCAGATCAGTAGCTTGGCAGAGAAACATGAAAAAATCCACCCCCGAAATGGTACATGATCAATTTTTCTGTCTTCAGACTGGAAGTTGTGCTGTCATTTCTCTGTCTTCTGAGAAATGCTAATCCTGCAAGATACATGTGCCTCCTAATTTACATGCTTCCCTGGCTCTTGGGCAGAAAATGCAAAGACAGGAGCTGAAAAACAAGCTGCTGCCTCGTTTGTGCATTTTCCCAGAGTCAAGCCACAAACAATCTCCCTTAAACCCAGAACAAACTGAAATCTGTTAATTAACCAGATGACGAGTGTTGGAATGAGATCTGAATAACTGTGCAGGGGGGGGGAAATCAGCGATTACAAAGCAAGACTTGTCTTTATGGTATGTGCTTGGTAACTTAAAAAAGCAGAAAGTGTTTGTGTGTGTGGCTGAAACTTGTTTACTTTGCCTTTGAACTGTTAGTGTGCAAATGGCATGGCATTAATACTGAGGGAGCTTTTAAATCACCTCTGTGCGTTTTGAGGCAAGTAAGGATTGCAGTGGGCACACAGGAGTGGGGTGAGGAGTGCCCTAACACTGAACTTGGACAGAAATTGTGTTTCTTTGTAGTGTCTGCAGAGGATGGCCCCAAGGCTGTTCTGGACCCGTTTCAGCTCAGCACACAAGGCTGAGCCTGAGCTGAGCATTTCCAAGGATGCCTGGCAAAGCTGTGCTCTCCTGTTCTGCAGGCTGGCAGCATTTGACAAGACAGCTGTGAGAATCGATGGCAACTGAGGTGCAGATCACATCCCGCTTCCAGCTGCTGCTGTCACAGCCCTGCCCCGGTGATAGGAACAGCACCAGGAGTTCCTTTCTGAAGCACAACATCTCACTTATCCCCCACTTACTTGAGCACTGGTATTTAACACACCAGTTGTGCCTTGTAAAGCTTTTAACAATTGCAGACCAGTTTATGCCAGCCAGCAGAAGCCAGTTGTTTTTCTGTCCTAATAAAACTGATGGAGCAGGTGCCAGGATGTTCTCCAGGACTGGGGGATTCTTTTCATCACCAGAAATAGCTTAAATCCAGTCATCTTTTTGTGCCAAAGGCATGTAGGATAGCATTTTGTTAGGAGAATTAAGATTATTTCCCAGCATGAGGAAGGATGGAAAGGAGTATCCATAGAGGTCTGAAGAACTGCCTTCCCACTGAAACAATTAATGCTGCTAGGGTTGTGTTATATTATTAATGATGTTAAAGTGCCTAGAGTCAGAGGAAAGCCTCATTTCAGATGATTTCTGAATGTCAATGAATAAAATGTGCTAATCATATTGGGTTTATTATTAATTTTTAAAGAAATTGGTGAGCTGAGTGCCCAGATTTGAGAAGGCAAGAATATATTTATTATAAGGTTTATTATAAGTCTTGAAAAATACATGAGAGTATAAGAGAAAATGGATTTTATTTCTAATTAATGCTTATTGCTCTAGGAAAAAAAAGAAAGAAAGAAAAAAAAGCCTGGGAGGGTTTTGATTTGTTCTTGAGTATGAGCTCTTGCAATAGGTCAGTGAAGGAGCTGGACAAGTGCTAATGTACCATTACAGCAGTGTGATAAGAACAGACTCAAGGGTTTCAGCTCTCACTTAGGTTGTACTTGGTTGTTGCTGAGTCTTGCACAGTTCTTTTCTTTGTAAGCAATTTAAGGTATTAAAATATTGCTTATCTCTGTAAAAGTTACTGCTCATGAATCTCAGGGATGGCTTTTTCAATGGGGCTTAGGAATTTAGCTGTCTTTAGTAAAAATGTGTGAAATGAGCCAATGTAGCACTTCTCTTAGATAAGATGTAACAACTCTGTCATTCTATATGGGCAAAATCCTCCCAAAATCCTCGGTGGTTTGGAAAGAATAAGGTTTGGTCCTTAGGGGTTTTTGGGGTTTTTGGTTTGGTTTGGTTTTTTGGTGGTGTTCTAATTGCTATGCTAAAAATTTTACCATTGCAATAAAAGAATAATTCGATGACTTCCTGCAATCTCCTGATTTCAATTTAGCCTGGTTATACATTTTTTTCTGCAGGATAATGTTCTAAGTTCTGTATGCAAGAGAACCTTTTTTGTTGTATAACACTTTGCCTGCATTATTTACTTTGTTAATCTGTTAAATGGTGCACACGCAGGGCTTTGGCATTCGGGTACGATAGGGAAAG